AGGAGCAGAAGCAATCACCAGGACTTTTTGAATAAAAAGAAGGTAAATAGCCTTTATGCTGCATATATGTGGATGAAGCAGCATCACGAGCTTGGGGAATAGATGGTAGGTAAATTGACTTCAGTATACAGAGGAGTTGGAGAGATGGTACATACTACTCTTCCATAGGACCAGGATATAGTGAGAAATCCAGAGTCTGTTTAAAGGGCAAAGGAATTTACTAAGGGGAAAAACTCACTGTACAGAACAGAATAGTAGTGGGTTCTGGAATGCTGTTCCGGCCACCTGAATCAGGCCCTTATCTAAAACCACAAGACACATGCATCTCAGGTCTTAAGAGTTGCCAAGAGGCCACATGCCAGGGGCATGTACTTCAAGGTCATAGGCAGGTAGAGCAATTACCTGAAAACAGCTGCCCACTACACCAGAGTTCAGTTCTGAGAACCCATATTGGGTGACTTATGCCTGCCATGCCAGTAACTATAACTCAAGAGAATATGACCCTTCTAGGCTCCATAGGCACCTTCTTTCACACACACACACACACACACACACACACACACACACACACACACACACACTTAAACATTTTTTAAAAATACACAAACCAGATCTGAGTTTTTGACAGGTTTAGACAGATACTTTAACTAGAAAAAGACTCATATTTTTAGGAGTATTGGTGTGCTTTAGAGGAACAAGATCAGTAAGTGAGTAAAAACAGATTAAACAATGTATCAAGAAGTTTTCCTGTGTCCCACCTGGTCGCATAGTGGCTCGGTACCAAGTAAACACACAGAGGCTTATATTAATTACAAACTGTATGGTCTATGGCTCAGGCTCATTAGTAACTAGCTCTTAAAACTTAATTCAACCCATTTCTGTTCATCTATGTTTTGCCATGTGGTTTTGTGGCATGACCTGTTCTCTCACATCTTGCTTCTCCTGGTGATGGCTAGCAGCATCTCCTCTGACCCCACTTCTTCATCTCCGTCTTCAGTTTGAACGTACCACCTAACTTTATTCTGCCTCACCATTGGCCAAACAGCTTTAGTTATCAACCAGTGAGAACAACACATATTCACAGCATACAGAAAGACATCCCACAGCACTTCCCCTTTTTTGTCTAATTAAAAAGGTTTTCATTTTAATATAGTATAATTACATATAACAAAACAGTTATCAAGCAAGAATTATAGTTACAATATCTATTCTGTTTGTATTTAGCAAAATTAAAGGAAATATTCTATCATCTATATTTGAGTCAAAAGTTTCCTAATTTACCTTTTATCATAACCAAGGAAAACTATCTAGTCTTCCTATTACTTAAGTGAACAGGAAGTGCACTGTAAGCAACTTCCAAAATTCTAGAAATGACAAAGACATCTGGCTGCTTGGGCAGTCACCCAGAGTTCCTCTGCAACATTGGGACATCCATCTTCAGCCAACAGGCCTGGAGTCACTGGCAGACTTTTTTATGAAGCAGGAAATTTGTCTCTCCTATTGGCAAAGTTAATCAGTTGCTTTCCCCTGTGTCCTGCAGAATGTCTGGCAGTCTTCTCTGTGAAGCAGGAATCTGAAGGACCATGTCACCTTGTTTTGACAAAGTTCAGGCCTTCCTATGGGTCCTATGTGTACAGTTTATACAGCACCCTGTCAAGCAGTCAAGGCTAGGGCACTTTTTTGCCTGGTGACTTTTGCCACAAAGAGAGCAAACTCCATAATGAGTTTATTTGATGCCTATCATCTTCTTTGAAGTAATTGGTGCTGCCAGGAATAGACATGTCTCAATGTCTAGAAAAGTCTAAGTTCTTAAAACATTTTAAATGCCATACTGTAGGTCTTTGAAGTATTTGATGATTACCTACCCAATTGAAATATATCTTTGTATATCTAGAAAACTTAACTAATATGACTAAGTTTGATTATCATAGGTGACTATTAATATGCATTTCTTAATTATATATTACAATTTTAAATGAGTTGCATAAACATATCTTAAACAAGAGTAGAAATATATATACAGTATAACAAAATTAACTTTAAATTTGTATCAATAAACCAAAATCCATAGCAATGTAAAGTAAGATTTAATAGTTTTTTTTATTAAAGTAGATTCAATGATCTACCCTTTTATCCTATCATTTCTTTATCATATCCCCCTTTTTTCTTTTAGAAAGAGATTGACTATTACGAGTAATACTTTGTAATCAAACCCCTAAACAAAAACAAACATCCATAATCCATTTTTTGGAAATGTGGGTATAGTTTTCTAGGCTACTTCCTGCTGATTGGGTGCTGGTAATCTTTGGGAGACCCTGAGTCATGACTAGAGTAGTCTGTGAGGCTGGATCATCACAGCCAGCAGCCTTGACCCTGTTCTGGATGCAGAACTCAAAAGGAACTGCAACAGAGGCATTTTGATGGATCATCTGGGCCATTCATTTTCATTGGTGTCTGGTCCCCTCATCCTGAAAATGCATAAACTTTTAAAGGTAACATACATATCTGCATTAATACAAGTACAAATTGTGCATTGTACACAAGTCAGCTAAAGATAATTTCTTATGTGTTTCAGCAGGTGAAATATACATCACATGTCTTACAGTTCTCTCAGGTTTATGTTTTTATATCTGTAGTCAGGATTTCCAGGGGTCTTCCTCAGTTAAATCGATCATCTTTAATTTTGAATGAATCCATAGTCTCTCATTTCCTGTGGAAACAAAAACATAACCTCTCCCCTAAAGTGGCATACCTTTTGACTTAAATTTTGGAGTCAATATATTTTTAAAATATGTAGGTTGGTTTAATCCTGCAGCTTTTATAATCAAATGTCTCATAGAAGTAAAAAATGTTAAAGACAACCCAGTAGTATACATAATCCAGACTTTCTTTGCATTTTCTATCCTCAACGTGGCTCACTTTCTTTATATTACTTTACTCCCCTTTCTAAGGACTTTTACTATTTTAAAACTATATATGTCTTTTTTAAGACTGTCTATACCTTCTCTTTACTCTCCCAAGCCTATGTATAATTTAAACACACTGTAATCCATTTAGAGTTTTTTTCCCATTTGAGTATGTTCTTATTGTGTATCTGTAATCATTTTCTGAGCATTGCTTTAAACTGCAGTGTGGCTAGGATAGAAGCGGCAGCCCTGGGTGCTGGCTTTGCCCCACTCGGCTTTTCAACATGGTGGAGATACATTTACGGCCAGCACTGAGAGCCATGCTTACTGCCAATTCTGGGAAGCAGTGGGTCTATGCTTGCATCAAGCAGCATGTAGTCCAGAAACCTTTTTTTTTCTTGTCTGTACTAGCAAAAGCTAAATCCACCATGCATTGCTCTGTGCAGCTTGAAGATGCCTCTATATTTCAGCAGGATCCTCCATACTGTGCTCAAGCTCAGCTTGAATGCCACAGCATCTCTGTACCATGGCCCTCATGAGAGACATGAACTAGGAAGCTGCTCTTGGCTCCATTTCTGTGCATTCAGAAACTTTTTGTAAGGTTTTACAGGTCTATGTGGATCAATGCCCCACATTGGGTGCCAGATGTAGCCAGAAGGATTCATGTTTCTCTCCTGCCACTGCTCAGTCCCAAGTAAGCAGAAAGAGATCCCACAGCAAAATAGTACCACTTGAAATAGGGTAACCCTAGATTTAGAAGCATTTTTGTTTGGAGGGGTTCAGAATTTTGAGAGTCCAGAAGAGGGCATTGAAACCCCCTGGAGATGGAGTTGCAGGCAGTTATAAACTGATATGAGCTAGAAACTGAAAGTGTGTTCCCTGGAAGTGCAGTTTGCACTCTTACCCACTGAGGCATTTCTCACACTCCTTGAGTGCACCTTAAAACTGACATATAATGGAAAGCGTGTATCTGGGTAGGTTCTCTAGACAAAGAACAAAACTAATACCCAAAACTAAAACTTACTAATTCTGTATGATTGTCTACAAAGTTAAGTTTGGTTCTTCAGTCCTCAATTTAGAGCTTTATGAATCACATTTATTGGATCACTAGTCTTTGGAATACAGAGTGAGTTTTTAGATTAATGTTAGATCAGTTAACTATCACTTGGCACAAATAACTTTTTAGTGACTGTATAGCATTTGTGTGGTTTTAAGTGATTCTTGTTAAGTTTAGCTAAGCTTTATTGTTCACAATACTGTTCTAAGTCTTAGTAGATGCACTTAGTGGAAAGGCTCTCAGGAAAGTGTGTTGTTTCTGTGTTTATAACTCTGGGTTGAATCATTTGACTTTGGTCATTTCCTTTCCAACTTTTCCTCTTGTCTCTGTTCAAACATCACTTTCTCAGTGGTGCCTTGCTGGTCACTCCATCTAAACTCTTGTCTTCTGCTTCACAGTGTTGTCATCTTTTTTAGAATTTTTCATTAAGCATGTGTGTCTGTCTTTTTGATCTGCCTTCCCCACTAGAAAGTAAGTGTTGTAAGATGATTTTATTCAGTAATGTGTCCTTCATGCCTAGATCAATGCCTGGCAGAGTGTATGTTTAGTGGCTGAGTATAAGTTAACATTAGTTACTGCTGCACCTCTAGAACCCTCATGTTAAGGTAAAATTTAACTTTGTGGTTATGTGTAGTTTACATATTAAAGAATTTAACATACAACTCTTTTAAAATCTGTATTAAATTCATCTATGAGGGCCAGTGAGATAGCTGAGTGAGTATAGGTGCTTGCCTATCAGAGTTTGATCCCAGAAACCCACATGGCAGAGGGAAAGAACCAACTCTTCAAGTTTCCCTCTGGCTGCCACATAAGCGCACACATAAACAAGCAGTAAGTGTAAAAAGTGTAAGACATTTTGAATCAGCTAGGTGAACTGGAAATCTGGCATATAAAAATCCCTAAATGGTTTAGTTAGTTCAGCTGCTTCAGTTAGTGCTGGCTGTGTTTCTCCTCATACTGGGGATGGCACCAGAGACTTATCGTAAGCTCCATCCTCAACCATTTGTTAGTACATTAAACTCCTTTTTCTTGTACAGGTGCAAGTGGCATGAAGAAAATGATATTCTCTTCTGTGCATTAGCTGTTTGCAAGAAAATCGCGTAAGTATGGGGAGGAGCCCCCTCAGTGCTGTGCTCTGCAGGGGTCCCTTGTGCCTGTTGTGCTTGCTCTTGTTTGTCAGCTGAGGGGACGGCTGTCTGCTCAACTTTCTTACTGAACAATTTATGTGAATCTTCAGAAGCATTTATTGAGGTTTTTCCTTCCCGGGCCCCTTAGGAGAGACCATTTCCTACTAGCATTAAGGACATCACTTTCTTGTAATGGTGCCCTAAAATTGTAAACGAGTTCCTCTCATTTTGTAGTGAGGCACCTACAGTTCTGTTCTAGTTTGCTTTCTGGTGGTGCAACAAGCACCATGACCAAAAGCAACCTAAGGGAGGAAAGCGTTTACTTTTCTAGTAAGCCCATCATTGAGGGATGTCAGGGTAGGAACTCAAGCAGGAAACAGGAACTGTGGAGGAATGCTCCTTGCTAGCTCACCCTAGGCTCATGTTTAACTAGGTTTCTTATGCAGCCTAGGGTTGGTGCTGCCAATGGTAGGCTGGCCCTCTGGTTGATTAACAACAAAGACAATGTCCACAGACCTGTCTGAACCAGGCAATTCCTCAATCAAGGCTTTCTTCTTAGGTGACTCCAGGCTATGTCAGGTTGACAATTGAAACCAACTAAGACAAGCCCCAAGTCTCTGGGTGCTCTGGTAATACCTTTCCATGGAAATGCTTCTTAGCCCTGAGGATTGACTGTTCGTGGTTGTAGTTTTATTTCTGCTTCTGCCTTCTTTCCTTCAACATTGGAGAATCCTGCTGATCCTTGCACTCATCCCTGTCACAAACCTGAAATTTTATCTACTGACTGTGAGATGGCTTGCCAGTGATAAATGTTCATGGTTTGCATGCTGCCTGTTCCCATCTCTTCTCTCTGAATCTTTAGATTTTTTTTTCTCCAAATTAGAATATTACCTCTGAGATGCTTTCTTTGTTGGAAAACTTAACCTGGATACTTTCAGAATGAACTGGATGAAGTTGCTCTAGTGAGCTTTGTCTTCTTTTTTAAAGGTACTGCATCAGTAATTCTCTAGCCACTCTCTTTGGAATCCAGCTCACTGGAGCTCATGTACCACTACAAGACTATGAGGCCAGCAATAGTGTGACACCCAAAATGGTTGTATTGGATGCAGGACGTTACCAGGTAAGGAAATCTCTGTTGTCAGCAGAATCTTGGATACATGTAACCTCTTTGAGGGAAAATCTGTTTCCTTTCTTGTTTCTAGTTTGATTCTAAGCACAGTTTCTCTGTTGGCATTTTCAAATGAAGATATATATTTCCTCACTCATTTGAAAGTAGTGTCTTTGATTTTTTAGCTTCTAGACTTCCTTCAGACCTTATTCCTAAAATTCCTAAATTTTGAAACTCATGCTATTTGTGCTACAGAACCTGTAACCTGACTGGGGAATCAATAAGCACTATAGTTGGGACTCCTCATTAGAGTGACACTGACCCAAGGGAGCAAAGATTTCCAATATTTTTATTCTCATCTTTCCACTAAGTAATCTTTCCAGTTCCCAGTTCTCTGTTTCTTCACTTCTTCTCCTCCCTTCTCCCATACTGCGTAAGTCCTCACCCAGTGCTGTTGCTTCTGATCTCAACTTCAAATAACCTCTTCTCTGATTCCCACCATCTTCCCTAGCAAGCCAGTACCAGCAATTTCTTGACCTCTGCTGTGACCTGTAGTTCACTTAGAGCTCCACTTTCTCATGCTCCTTTATAGAGCTACTGCATTGAACAACCACAGGACACTATTTGTGTGTATAAAGTTGTGGCCTCTTGTTTGTATTTTCTTTTTACCACCTCCATCCCCCCCTTTACTGCCTTCCATCCCAACTTTTAGTTTTAGTCTGTCTTTTCTACTACCTTATCTAAACTCCATTGGTCCTCCTGTCTTCATTATGCTTGGTTGACAGACTAATCCTGATTAAATCTAACTCTTCACCTCCACTCCTTATATTTGTAAATTGAAATGAATCTAGAATGAAACTACCTGGCAGCAAATAACTATAATCCCTGCCACTCTAGAGGCTAGGGAAAGAAGTTTACAAGTTCAGGGTCAGCCTGGGCTGCATAGCAAGTTTGAAGACACTATTTGCTCTCAAACTTAAATAATGGAGGGGTGTAGTTGCCTAATATGTACAAGTCCCTGAGTTTAACACACACACACACACACACACACACACACACACACACACAGAAGAAACTTCCATACCACCCACCATAATGACTAATCTTAACTAGATATCTTTTATGATCAGTTTCAGCAACTCATTGGCATTGCCTGTAGTTATCATTTCTCTAGTCTAATTAATTTCTCATATATTATCTTTCAGCTTCTATCACCTTTTTTTTCCCCTACCTTTGCTGTAGCCAGTACTGATGCTGCTGCTGCTTCTCCAGGAAAGCAGAAGTAATCACAGGTTCTCTACATATTCCTGCCACCTCACCGATCTGCTTCTCCTTTATTCTCTGCTTTTACTCTGGTATCTATAAGTATTCTCTATTCCTATCTAAAATTGATGCATTAGATCTTGTTCTTTCACTAACCAAAGACATGGCTGCAGTGATTTTACTTTTTTGAATCTTTAGGGCTCCCTCTATTCTGGGTCATTCTTTTTTGCCACCCCCTCCCTCCCTCCCCCCTCTTTGTTTCTGTCTGTCTCTGTCTCTCTCTCTGTGTCTGTCTTACTCTGTCTCTCTCTCTGTCTCTCTCTCATGTGTGTGTGTGTGTGTGTGTGTGTGTGTGTAAGTCTGTATGTAGGCATTCCTTCCCACATGTGCCATAGTGTACATTTGGATGTCAGAGAACTTAGAGCAGTTCGTTCTCTCCTACTATGTGGGTTCCAGGGATCAAACTCGGGTCATCAAGCTTGGCACAAGCACCTTTGCCCGTTTTGCTAGCCCTGTTCTGTAATCACTCTTACCAAAATAAATACGTCATAATCTAATCTTTTTAAAAACAACAAACAAACAAACAAACTCTTAAGCCTGTGACCCTAAGTCTCTCCAGAGTCACCCTGTCTTGTCCTTTACAGAAAACATGAGTAAACATTGGGAAAATACACATTCATTTGCATTTTTAATCTGGAATTAAAGAATTGATAAGTAGTAAACATTTTTCCTGGCATTTTCCTGTTCCTTTACAGAAGCTAAGAGTTGAGAGTCCAGGATTCTGTCATTTCAACTCTTACAATCAGGAACAAAGATCAAACACATCCACTGGTGAGCATCTTCAGTTTTATAAGATTGGGGTTACACCTTAAACCCTAGAAAGATCCTGGGGTGTTTCTGGTTGGCCATAAGGATATGAGGAGCTTGTAATTTAATTGAGCATTTTGTTTGGAATTAGCAGTTAAAACAATTTGAATTTATGTATTTTTGTCACTATGGAATGTAACATTTCTCAAACTTTTGTCCAGGACATTTCTAAGAAATACTTTTTTTCTTATACAACTATAGTTTCATAGTTTTGATGTGATAGATACATGATGTGTTTTTGGGAGATGAGAAATTTCAAAAGCTAGTTAGATGGAATTTCAAGTGATACCTAAAGAACTTCAGTTGGGTTTTCTTGCCTTAAAAACAAAAGGAAACATTTTTCTTCACCCACTTGACTTCTGCTCATGATTTTTTAATTATGACTTAGTGAGAGTCCTACAGTGAGATGAAGTTAACTGACATGCCTCTTTATAAATCAGATGTAAAGTTTCTGCCTGTTTAATTATCTTTCCAACACCCTAGGTTATTACCCATCTGGGGTGAAAATTTCTGGCCCTAACAGCAGTGTTCGAGGAAGAGGGATTACCCGCTTACTAGAGAGCATCTCCAGCTCCTCCAACAACATCCATAGATACTCCAACTGTGAGACCTCACTCTCACCTTACATGCCCCAAAAAGATGGGTACAAATCTTTCTCTTCCTTTTCTTAATGATGGTACTTTTTGCAATGTCTGGAAAAATAACAAGCCCAACTTCCTTTCTGACTACAGTCAATATTAAACAAACAGATCACATCAACAGTAAATGTCATTCCTCTAAAAACTACGTAATTTGTAAGGAAACTATTTCATAGATTAAAAATAATTGTGGTTGGAAAAGATTTTGGCATTCTTGCTTGTTTGTTTGTGTGTGGTTTTCTTTATTTTCTCCTAAGACTTATACTTCTGGGGGTATGATGGTTATGTCCTTAAGGTTTTGAGTTCTAAAACAAAACTGGCAATTTCAGAGCATTTGAAAATGTTATACAGTTCTTTCCCCTGAAGTAAAGGTATTAAGTATCTGTTACAAAAGACTCTTTATGATAATATTAACTTAGTTCTTCCCCTTATGAAATGTAAACCTTAGAGACCAAAGGCTACTTGCATTAAACATAACTAAGAAAATTAGCCTTTAACAAAAATAATGATTTGTTATTTTAAATAGTCTTTGAAGTAATTTGTCTCTGTCAAAAGAAACCAGTTACAGAATGAAAAGACAAAATGAAAGATGAGAGAGCTATCATTTACTCCCAGTCACATGTACACATACAAATAATCGTAGGTCCTGTAGATTTATTTTCATAGAATAGTTTGGTCTTTCAGAGCAAATAATAAAAAACCCAAACTATATTATTAATATAATTCAAGCCCTTTTTCCCCTTCAAAAAGAATCTTTGGGCACTGAACTAAAAAATATTAATATCCTTTTAGAAAACTAAGTATCAGCTGATAGTTTCATTGGGCATCTGGTTGCCAGGGATCTCCTCTGACTCCTATAATGGCCATGACCAAGGACAGTGACTGCTGTAAGGTCACACAACAGTTACTGTTGTTGTGAGACAAGTGTTCTGGAACTTACATGACCCATGCCAGCCTCAAACTCACATCCCTTCTTTGCCTCCTGAGCACTGAACTTTGAAGCATGTACATATAGGTATACTTAATGCTTTTGGTTGTGACTGTTTGGGTTCATGACTTACCATTCTACTTTAAGGTTCCACTTCCTATGCTCAGTATGTGTCAGAATCAATCGCTACTCTTGCCAGTAGAGAAGGCAGGCAGAATTTCAGAGTCACCTCAGAAGGTAAAATACTCTGTAGATAAAAGGACCAATCACCATTCTTATGGATTCCATTCTTATCCTGGGTAATTTCATTTGTGTGGTGAACATGGTCTTAAGAGTCTGCCTAATGTTGGATTTAGAATACTAAAATGAAGGAAGACAGCTCCTGATGTTGAAGAGTTCACTGTGGAGGTAATAAACAGTTGTATGAATTAGTAAAAATGATCTTCAGCATGAAGGGATGCTGTGGGATGTTCTGTGTGGCAAATGTGTTGCTAATTAGTCAATAAATAAAACACTGATTGGCCATTGGCTAGGCAGGAAGTGTAGGCGGGACAAGGAGGAGAATAAAGCTGGGAAGTGGAAGGCTGAGTCAGAGAGACACTGCCAGCCACCACGATGACAAACAGCATGTGAAGATGCCGGTAAGCCACAAGCCATGTGGCAAGGTATAGATTAATGGAAATGGATTAATTTAAGCTGTAAGAACAGTTATCAAGAAGCCTGCCACGGCCATACAGTTTGTAAGCAATATAAATCTCTGTGTTTACTTGGTTGTCTCTGAGCAGCTGTGGGACTGGCGGGTGAGAGAGATTTGTCCTGACTGTGGGCCAGGCAGGAAAACTCTAGCTACAAAGGGAGATGGACACATGCCAGAGGGAATCTAGAAATGCATCTTTGGAGTGGTTTTTCACAAGAACATCCAAATCACTGAGTAGGCAAAAAAAAAAAAAAAAAAAACTTGTCTCTTCAACAAACAGTTCTAGGACAGCTGGACATGGACATAAAAAGGAAAACTCTTGGTGTCTCCTTCAAATTCATTTTAAAACTTAATCCTAGTAGTTACAGAGAGTTATGGGTAAGGGAAGGCAATCCAGTCAGCAGGGCTCTCTGCCTTCCTCAATGGGGGACTGACTAGCACCCTTCTCTGACAGTTTGAACAGGGAGTTCTTGGTACCCTTCTGTCCATTTCATCATTTGAAATCACAGCAGCCATTCCAGAAGACAGCATCCCTTACAAAGAAGTATCTACCCTTCTGGCATCCTAAACTTGTGCTTCACAGCCTCCAGAGCCATGAGAAACACATTTCTGTTTTTAAACCACTGGGTCCTGGGTATTGTGTTAACATCATAAATGCACTAAGACAAGACCCCTCACATCGTATACAAACATTACAAAATGGATCAAAGACATAAATGTAAATGCTAAAGCTATGCAATACATAAAAGAAATGTAATTGTAAATATTCATGCCCTGAGATGAGGCAGCAGCCTTAATGGACACCAAAAACACAACAAAGGAAAACACTGGTGAATTGCAGTTCATCCCAGTTAAATCCGAAGAAAATCCTCATTGTGTATTAAAAGACTGAAAACCCATAGAATATGAGAAAATACTTACAAATCATTTATCTGATAAGAGTAACATTCAGAATATGTGTAGAAACTTTCAAAACTCAGCAATAAAAAGAAATTAAAAGGAAACCATGGATAGACATTTCTTCAGAAAAAATTTGCAAATGGCCAAAGCACATGAAAAGACACTCAACACCATTATCCATTAGCAAATGCAAGTGAAAACAACAAAGATTTACAAAACACTTAGAAGATGGTTATTACCCAAAAAACAGGATTCAGAGTATGGGAAAAATCAGGACTCATATACATTGTTGGTAGAACTTAAAGTAATGCAGTTGCCGTGGAAACCTATTTGACAGTTTCTTAAAAACTTAACTACCATATAATTCAACAAGTCCATTCTTGTGGCTAATTAAGAGGATCAACCATCAATTCCCCATAGACACTTGAATATGTGCTTATATTACCCAGCAAAATAGAAAGCAGATGTCCATCAACTCATAGATAAAATGCATATTCATACAATGCAATGTGTATATATGTGTATATATATTGAATATAATACTGATGTACACTGCAACATAAAAGCCATATGTTGTATGATTCAACTTACACAGAGAATTCCAGAAAAGACTTTTGTAAAGATAGTAGATTAGTGGTTACCTGGGTTCTAAGTGTAATGGGTCACTAGATACAGATTTCTTTTGATTATGATAGAAACATTCTTCAATTAATAGTGATGATTTTTAAGGCCTAGTATTAAAAAAAACACTAAATTGTGCACTTAGTGGTACATACTACTAAAAGGTACATTTTACAGTGTGTGAACTTTTTCCCAAAAAAAGGTGTTGTAGGCAAAGGGATGATTCATCTTTTGAGGAAAAAAACAGCATAAAGGGAAGTCTGAAATTACTTTAAAAAGAGATTTCAGGCATAAAGAGTGTGAAAAAAAAAAACTAAGACAAAGTAGGGAAAGAAATGTAAATAGTATTTGTTAAAGTATAGGTGTTTGAAATGAACTGGTATATTTGAAACAATTACTTTTGTGTGTGTGTGATTGAAACCAGGATTACTTTGTCTTTTTTATTTAATCAAAATATATCATTCCTCCTTCCTTTTATTCCTCTCATGTCCATACTCCCTCCCCTAAATTCAGGGCCTCCTCTTTACCATTGTTGTCACATGTACTACATATAAATGAATAAACAAATACAACCTGCTGGGTGCTTTCAGTGATGCCTGCATGTATATGTTTCTAGGGCTAACCACTCAGGATTGGCTAACCAATTGGAACTCGTCACCAAGACTAGTTCTCCCTCTCTTTGCAGGTGTTAATTGCTTTTAGCTCCCCATCTAGAGATAGAGCCCTGTGAGATTTATCCCATCTATGTTAGGCTATCAACTGGTATTGGAATTATTCAGGCCTTGTTTAGGCAGACATGTTGGTGGAATTTAATGGGTGTAGCTTTCCTGTCATAGCCAGAAGGAATAATCTCCCAGCAAACTTCCTGCTCCTCTGGTTCTTAAAATCTTTCTGAACCCTCTTCCATGATGTTCCCAAGCCTTGGGAACAGGGATTGTATTGTAGATAATATTCATTGGGATGGGCACCTTTTGGTCAGTTGTCCTCTACATGCATTGACTAGTCATGACCTTCATAATGGTCTCCTTCTGCTTCAAAAGGAAGCTTCTTTGATAAGGATTGATATCTACATTTCTCTGTGAATATAAGGATAAGTATTTAGAATGCACTGAGAAGTTATACTAGTCTAGTAAAGTGGCAGGGCAGTAATACATTCTCCTCTAAGATTCATGACCTCACTAGCCACAGGTAGTTTAGACAAGTGTGGTCGCCCACAGAGCTTTCTAGTGCGACCTTACTCAAGGTCAGAGAATCTGAGCTTGCTTTACCCAGAAAGGCTGCATAATGGGATGATTTGGCCAGGGGTCTGCACTTGTCTGTATGGTGTGCTTTGATCTTGCAAGGGGGAGGTCTTTTGCCTCTCCCCTTGGCATATTATAAAAAACCCTTTTGAATAAAGCTCTGGATGACTGGGTATTGACCCAGGGTATGGGATGACTCATCCCTAACAGGCTTGAGTGCCAGAAGGCCCAAACCAGTAAAAAAGATACTTTCTGAGAGCCAACCTGGGTCTGCCTAAGGGCCTTAGCAACAGCAGCTGAGACATGATCTGGAGATGACCTGGACCAATGAGAGGCAGCCATGTCACACTAGCAGATGCATATTCATCAGACCTTCCCCCAGGGTGGTGGGGAGGGTATATAAGGCTTGCCTCTTCCTGAATAAGCTGAGCTTGTTTCAACATTCTCCCAGAGTCTGTCATTGACTCTATGCCTACTTGGTCCCCTCCCCCAAAGGGAACAACAACACATGACCCTGCTACACCAAGACCCTCCCAAAGCTATCCTGTGTCTCTGTCTTTATCATCTCTATCTTTCTACCTAATATTTGTTTTCTCATTCCTTTCTCCTCCACCTAAGAACCCTTCGATAGGTGGGGACAGGTCAG